TATTTCAGAAAGTTAGGGGAATGATCCCCTGTTATCTTGCATCATTGTATAGAAAATTCAAGAAGATAGCTCTTGTAGGTTTTTTTTTTACAAAAATGTTGTTTATAAAAACTTTGAAAATCCCCCAAAATCCATGGATAAGTGAAACATTCTGAAACTTGATGGGCTAACAGTGGTTAATGTGGTCTACCTTTGTAGCAAGTTTCACGCAAATAGCCCCTGAAGTTTCCCCAGTGCACTATTACTATAACAAAATAATAACAAGGTTATGTTACTCTTGTTACAGTAGTGAAATTTTCACTAAATATACTTTAGAAACACTCCCCCCCTCCCTTGTAAGCAGCACCGAGTCCCTTTAGGGAGATGGTGGTGTGGTATAAAATTATTATTATTATTATTATTATTATTATTATTATTATTACATTAGAAATGAAATGCCAGAGCCCCCTAATTGTGTAATGGTTTCTGAAACATTTTTTAATCAATTGCACATGCTGATCTATGGTATATCTAGTTACGTTTTATCTGCAAAAATGGTGCAAACAGATTTTAGGCCACCGATGCAATGAAAAATGGCAAATCTAAAAATGGTGCCACTGCAAATATTTGGACTGAAAAATAAAGATATAAAAAAATCATGGCATCTCCAAGGGTCTCACATTCATTCATAATTGTTATAAAAAGCATTAAAACAAAGCAGTTTAAAATTAATGGAAACATTCAATACTCAGTAAAAAAAAGAAAAAGAAAGAAAGCAATGAGAATAAATACTGAAGAGGGAATTTCTGCATACCCATGGTCTTAATGTACATAAATAAATATGTGGATCATATTGTTTGATATTTTTGTCTTTAATCATTGTCGGGGGTGGTGGGGTGGTTGAAGAAAAACCACTTGTGGAAAAAGAGTGATCGGATTAATACATATTTTGAGAATTGACATATATCTTTGGATCCTAGACTTAGTTTGCCACCTTGTGTTCAATGCCAGTGTTTGAAACAGAAACTAAGAAGATCACAGACACTGCTTTACTGGATTAAGCCACAGACCTACATCATTTTTTTCAGTCTAATAATCTCAAGTGAAATGCCAATAGCTGGCATGAATCAAACTATGCTTTGAAAAATTATTTTTGAGACTGCAACTCACATTATCCCCCAATTGGCATGGACAGTAGCCGTATTATCTGGGGGACTCAAGAAAAATTGTTTTACTATACTTTTTTGTGAAAAAAAATGTAAGCCGCCCTGAGTCCCCCCCCCGGGGTGAGAAGGGCGGGGTATAAGTAAATGAAATAAATAATAAATAAATAAGTTTCCTTAAATCACAGAAACAAAAAGAATTCAGATTTTCCCTATGTAACTTACTTTGCACTATATGTGTGAGTAGGAACAACCCAAAAAGGAAGACTAAACCGATCTGTAACTGTATCTTATAAGAAGATACGACTGAAGAAGAAACATATTCTTTATATATTGTATACTGCAAATGCTGTTTGTTGTGATTTTGGAGTGAATTATATACTCCTCTCTCAGCAGGGTCACTATGCCTGGGATTGTAGAAGAGTTCTTTTTGTTAACATTTTGTTTTGATATGTTTTCCTCAGTCTTTTAAATGGAAACCTTAAGACCCTTTTAGATTGATCATACTTTCTGAGTTTTTCCTTTGAAATTTGTTTTTGCAGCATGATCATTGGGGCAGAACTAATAACAGCAGAAAAAAAATCACTTTCCACTTTTTTTGCATTTTTACTGTTAACTTGTTAACATTCTCCAAATAACACTTATTAAATTTATGTTTAATTTATTACATATTATTGAAGTATTTTTCTTAGTTTTATACAATATTCCTCAAGGCACTAATTAATGCAGCAGTGCATCTTAGCATTTTGATATTTAGCATATAGCGTGAAATTGCATTATTATTTCATGTCTTTAATTAAGACAATATCAATTATGACAGTGATTACAAAATACACATCAAAATTCATTTGTATTTTTGTGTGCATCATTTTAAAATTTACACAACTTGAAAGGTACACATTTTTCTCTTATTGACTACTGTGTTGTTCTCCTAAAAATGTATAAATAATTTCTTGTGAAAGAACATCCATTCAATCCCTCTATCTATTTATCTATCTATCTATCTATCTATCTATCTATCTATCTATCTATCTATCTATATCTCAAATGAATAGTCAAAAAAGGTTCTCAGGTTTTTAAAAAACATTTTCATATTCATATTTGAGTCCACCATATACGATATTCTGCATTGTGCAACCTTTGAAAGATTGTTTCTATCATTATCCCAATGTATTTAGAAATAAATTGGAAAATGTAAAAGCCATAAATGAATACTTTCAACTTTTAGATCACATTTTATTAATCATTAATCATTCAAAAATAAAAATCAGTTGTATCAAGAAAATTGATTTTTTTTAAATGTAAGGAGAAATGGCACAGAATCTCCCTCCCCACTTAAAAAAACCCCTCATTTATCAAGGATTTACATTAGGGATATAATTATTGGCTAATGTCAAGTGTGAATTTTGATAGAATAAACCCTAAACTGGGAATATTCTCACCAATCCCTTCTGTATTTCCTATTGATCATGGACGGTCTGTGTGCCGAGTTTGATCCAAATCTATCAGCAATGTGGGTCACAGAGCTTTCTGGATGTGTGGTGACTGCAACTCCCATCATGCTGTGTTAATTATTCCCAAATCCCACCTGTATTTTCTGTTAGTCATGTGGGCTCTTTGTATCAAGTTTGGTCCAAATCTATTGTTAGCGGAAGTAAGTTCTCTATGGAAGTGGGAGCCATCTTCGAAAATACATACAGATACATACATACAAACATATTTTCACACACATACACATATATACATACATACAGAGAGAGAGAGAGAGCACTATATCTTCAGGTGTAAAACTATGTATGTATCTTGCATTTACTTTCTGCCACAGATGAATACAGGATAAAACATAAATGCTTTAAATATTTTAAACATTTCAACCTAAATTGTAAAAAAAATACGTATGGGTTCCCCCCCCCCCCTTATCCTTTTAATTCAAATTTAGAAATGATTGCATGTACAATTATGCAAGTAGTAGTCTAACTGTGTGAACATAAAAATGTATAATTATGCTAGGGGAATAACCTTAATTTAGACTCTGTGAACTTGCAGAAATGGCACAATCCCCACTGAGTTGTAAAATTCTCATTGAGAACATTGGGTTTGCTTGTGAATACTGAAATGAAGAACATGGCCTCCGGTTATACTTTCATCCTGGGGCTTTAGTGATATTAGCAACTTGATTCTACTGGCTTGTGAGCCTTAGGCTACTGTGGTTTGCTTTCTGCTCAAGGACTGTGAAAATCTTGTTCATGCAATATCAGAAAGGCAAACATACTGTACTTATTGTAGCTATACTTTCTTATCTGCCTATTTTAAAGAAGTATATATGCTTGAACATTCCACTGGAATGTTCTTTGTGATGAATGATTGCTCTCCTTGTTTGACCTTAGATTCCTTTCAGACCATAAACATGAAAGGAATCATTGGGCCTAAACTACAGGTTTTCCTAGAACATGACCTCCTGGGTCAACCAGAGGTTCAACCCCACCGCCACGATTTCCCTGTAAAATGCCCCTTCCCCTTTCCAAAGTTCCTCATGAGTCTTTTGGCATTTTGGAAGCTCTCTCCAAGGTACCTGAGGATGCAGCCCGGCCCCTCCGGTAAATTTACAGGGAAAGCGGGGATCCAAGAGGGGAATGTAGGGTGCCTCCCGCTCCTTCAGTCTGAAGAACTAGGATAACAATGGAGCTTGGACCTCAGGATCATGGAAGGCAGCCCTGAGAGTCAGTCCCCCCAGGCCTAACACCTCAACAGAGCCAGACCTTGTAGTAAGGTTTGGATCTGTTGAGGTGTTTTTATTTATTTATTTATTCTGGAGTAATTGACAACCCATCATGGGTTTTGGGTCTGTATGGAAGGGCCCTTATTTTTCAGTCACAGCATTGTGCTCTAGAGAAGTCAAAGTTGAAATACAAATTTTCAGATCCAGTATATTATATTAGTTCCCCCTTCTCTCTCTCTCTCTCATGTCTACAGTAGTTACCAATTCCCCTTGATAATAACAAGCCCCTCTTTTAACAGATTCGTGAGTAGATTGCAGAAATAATGTGCCTACTCATGTATAAGTCTAAACATTTTAATTTTAAAATTCACCCCAAAAACCTGGGTTGACTTATCCAAAGGTCATTGTAAATACGGTACCTTATCTCTCAGCAACAAAGGAATAATAACCTACTTTGAGTAGCATGGCAAAAGGCAAGAACTTAATCCATCCTGGGAGAACCCAAACTAAGCACCACCCTTTTCTGCTCTCTCTACCATATCTGGTCCTTTTGAATGCCTGGGTGAGAAAATGCTGGCTGCTGCCAGGGATAGTTAGCCTCCTGTTGGCATTTTTTTCTATGTGCCCATAAGTGGTTCTGTGTGGTAGAATATCATGTACATGAAGCTTGACTTGCAGACATTGGAATGGTAACTTCAATAATTTCCAATACAATCATCTTTACAATTTGTGGGCAATTTTACTTGAGGTATTAGTTCTGGACTGAATGATATGAATAAGAAATAAAGTCCTATTCCAAGAATAACTGTATTCCAAAATGTATAAATTATGCAAAATAAACCTGCATGTTCATACGTAATTTGCTCATCAGTATCATCATCTCCATAATTATTGATATTTCCAGAAAAGGTTAAGCAGACTAATGAAATGCTGATATTTGAACCACAAAAGATCCTACTCTGAGGTTTCACTGGAATTCTTGATATGCTTTCAATGTTTACAGCTTTGTGGATTAAAAAAAGATTAAAGAAAACCTTGTTTGACTATGTTAGGTTGTCTAATTGCCTTGTTGCTTGTGGGTGAGGGCATAGAAATATGTTTTGGGTTACCACTGATGCATTTTCTCTCTCTTCTTTTAGCCCCCTGTGAAGCCAACACATTCTTTTGCCATAGTAATATGTGTATTAATAATACATTAGTCTGCAATGGACTTCAGAACTGTGTGTATCCATGGGATGAAAACCACTGCAAAGGTAAATATAGATAGATGGAAATGAAATTGGAAAAATGATGGATTATTTCTTTCACTGCCCTATTGTCATTGTCAAGTAATACCTAACCATTCAGAACAATAATCCATTTGTTGTGTGTGTGTGTGTGTCCTTTTGCTATCTGTAGTTTCTGAATGACTTCCAGTGATGCTTGAATAAATACATGAATGTGTATTTCACTGCACCTTAAATTTCCATGCATGGTATATGCATTTAAAAGAAGAGAGAGACGAGGAGGGTACAGTTTTAAAATTGAGTTGGAACTTCATTTTTTTTTAATTATTTTTATAAATTTTCTCTTGGTACAGTGAAAGAGTGAGAACAATAAATGGATAGGAGAGGGTGGGAAAAGAAAGAAGGGGAAAAGGAAGGGTAGTGTTGATGGGTGTTGGGGGAGGAAAAGGATAGGTAAGGGTGGGAGGGTCTAGGGGTGGGGAAGGGAAGGAAGGGGAAGTGCCGGTCGTCTGACTCCCGTTCGGTCTGCAGGGAAATATCTCATTATCCATAGATTTTATTCTTCTTCTGTGTTCTTTTGTTTATTTGCAATGTATCCTTCTGTGTATCCTATATATCTAATTTTATTTGTTTCTTAAAATAATCTTCCAAGTCTATCCAGTTTATTTGCTTGCTTCGGTCTTCTTTATCTAAGATTTGTGAAAATTTATCTAGATTCTTGATTTCCATCACTTTTTCAAACCACTCCTCTTTGCTCGGCGCTTCCTTATCTTTCCATTTTCTTGCAATTAGAATTCTCGCTGCTGCGGATAGGTGAAGGAACATTTTTTCTTGGTTTTTTTCCAGGTTTATGTTCATTATATTCAATAGATAAAATTCGGGTTTCATGTCGAATTTGATGTGCATAATATTTTGGACATGCTTATGTACCATCTGCCAAAACTTTTTAACTTCTTTACATAGCCAAAATTGGTGGTAATAGGTTCCATTTTCTTTTTTACACTTCCAACAAGTACCCTTATTTTTTTTTTTTGAATTTGGCTAGTTGCATTGGTGTTAGGTGCCATCTATAGAACACCTTGTACCAATTCTCGATTATATTAGTAGTCTTCATGAGTTTTAGCCTGTTGTTCCAAACTTGTTCCCACTCATTGAGTAGTATTGTATGACCAATATCTTTGGCCCATTTGGTCATGTTGTCTTTGATCAGTTCTCTTTCGTTTTTCCATTCTAGTAACTTCTGATACAATATTTTTATAGATTTTTGGTCTTTTTTCATGACAATGTCCCAACATGTGTTTATGTCATTGAAGCCGGATATTAGGTCACTTTTAAAGCGTTGTTTAATTTGCAAGTGGTGGAGCCAGCTCATTTCTTTATCATCCTTTTTTAGTTCTTCCAAGGGCCTTAGTTGCCACTCTCCGTTGTTCCTTGTAAGCAATTGCTTATAGGTGAGCCACTTACTTCTGGGAATTTCCCTCTTATGGAATGCCTCTACTGGTGAGATCCATGTTGGTATTTTTTGGTAAAAATTTTTTTTATATTTGTTCCATGTTTTCAATAACGCAGATCTTATGTAATGATTTGTGAAGTTCTTTTCTATAGTCGCTTTTTCATACCACAGGTATGCGTGCCATCCCCTTCTAATATCGTGGCCTTCAAGGGCTAGGATTTTTTTTTGTTCTAGTGTGGCCCATATTTTGGTCCATGTTAGGGCGGCCGCTTCGTGGTATACCTGTAAGTCTGGAAGTGCCAGGCCTCCTCTTTGTCTTGCGTCTGTGAGGTTCTGGAAACTTATTCTATGTTTTTTACTATCCCAGATAAAACTTAGAATGTCTCTATTCCATGTCTTAAAGGTTAAATCCCTTTTGATAATTGGTATCATTTGAAATAAGAATATTAGCATTGGCAGCACACTCATTTTAATCGCTGCTATTTTCCCTAATAGGGACAAGTTTAGATACTTCCAATTTTTTAACTTCTTCTTGATCTCACCCCAGACCTTTTCATAATTTTCTTTGAACAGATGTCTATTGGATACAGAAATCACAATACCTAAATATTTTATTTTCCTGACTATCTCTATTCCTGTACTTTTGTAAATTTTATCCTTTCCTTCTTTGGTTACATTTTTTGTTAACATTTTCGTTTTGTTTTTGTTTATTTTTAGTCCTGCCAGTCTACCGAAGTTCTCTATTTTGACTATCCACTTAGTGGTATTTTTTTCTGGGTTATCTATTACACATAGCAAATCATCGGCAAAGGCTAAAATTTTGAACTCCTCCATTCTGATCTTTAGGCCTGTAAGATCTTTGTCTTCTCTGAGGTCCTCTAATAAAATTTCAAGGACCAGTATAAGCAGGAGTGGGGACAGGGGACAACCCTGTCTTACCCCTCTCTGGATTTTGATTTTGTCTGACTGTAGGCCATTAACTATTACTGTTGCCGATTGATTTGTATAGATAGCTCTTATGGCATTTTGGATGGAGTATCCAATGTCCATTTCTGTCAATACTGCAGTCATAAAATCCCAATTGGTGCGGTCAAAGGCCTTTTCTGCATCCAAGAATAAAAGGCCTACATTTTTTTGTGGATTTTTTTCGTAGAGTTCAATGATGTCTATTACTGTCCTAATGTTGTCTCTCATTTGTCTGTTTGGCAGGAAGCCTCGTTGATCTTCTTTTATTCTTCCTTGTAACAATTTCTTGAATCTCTCTGATAATAGACTGGTGAATATCTTGTAATCCTGATTCAAGAGCGAGATAGGTCGATAGTTTTTGACATTGGTGGGTTCTGTATCCTCTTTATGTATAAGTGTAATATTTGCTTCGTGCCATGTCTCTGGCATTTCACCTCCCTGCATAATGTTGTTCATTATTTCTTTTAACTGGGTTGCTAGTTCTTCTTTAAAGGTCTTATAATATAGGGCTGTGAGTCCATCCGGACCTGGGGTCTTATTTGCTGCCAGTTTGTTTATGCACTTTATTACTTCTTCGTCAATCGGCTTGTTCATATATTCTCTTTCCATATCGGAGATCCTTGAAATCTTTTGTTTGGAGAGGAAGGTCATTATCTCTTCTTTCGATGTTGCGTCTTTTTTATAGAGCTCTTGATAGAATTTCCTAAATTGCTCCCCAATTTCCTTTTCTTTTGTGTAATTTTTATCTCCTTGTTTAATTTGGGTTATATATCTTTGTTGTTTCCTCTTAGTGAGTTTTTTCGCTAGGTATTTCCCTGGCTTGTTTGCTTTTGCAAAATGTTGCGCCCTGAGGTAATTCATATTTTTGGCTATTTGTTCTGTTTGTGCAGATTCGATCTCTTTTTTTATTATCTCAGTCGCTAATTTTATCTTTTTACTTCCTGGTCTTTTTTTAAGTTCATCTTCTTTTTCTTTTATTTTTTTTTTCCAATTTTGTCATTTTCTCTCTCCTTTTCTTATTTCTTATGGCTCCCTGCTGTATGAAATGGCCTCTCATGAATGCTTTACTTGTTTCCCAGACCATTTCTAATTTTGTGCCCTTGTCTAGATTGTTTTTGAAAAATTCTTGTAGTATTGTTTTATTGCGTTTTATGTGCTCCTCTGATCTTATTAATGAATCGTCTAACCTCCATCTCCTGGGTCGTTGGCTTATTTGTATGTCGATCCTTAATGGACAGTGGTCTGTGTGTGTGTCATAGCTAAGACTAGTAACTTCAGTGTGTCATAGCTAAGACTAGTAACTGGATTATCACTGCTTGTGAAACACCATACTAATTTTTAAAAGAGCATACTGCAGTTGAGCTCATGATTATGATGGGAAGATTTTATCTCCACCATGTATAGGGATCACCATATTTAGGACTTCCTGGTACAAAGCTAAAACATTGCCTTGATAAATGTGAGCCTTTAAACTTTTTCATATGAACACAATAGTCAAGGGAAAATGGTTTTACCCATGCATCATCTTTCCTTTCTGCCTGTTTCTGCTATGAAATTTTATTGAGGCATCTGCTTATTGAGAAAACACATTTCTTCATATTGCGGGTATAATTGTACATTTGATGCCAGTAATATGTATAAAGCTGCCCGTTTTTTGATGATAAAATAATACTCAGAAACAGCAAAAACTCATTTCTTTTGTTCTTGTCTGAGAGCAAGCATTTTTACAGACTAAAATTCATTTTCTAATGGGAACTAATTGTACTACATTAAAACCTCGTCATCTAGATCTGGGTGATTTTTTTTATAACAAATAACTTATAAAAGAAACAAGGGTCAAAGTCTACCATAAAATAGATGTTGATCACAGGGGCTTTGTGATACCTTTGTGATAATGTTTCACTTAGGTTGTGGTTCATGTGGCTTTCTTTTTAAAATAATTTTAAAAGTGTAGGTAAACATGGCATATTATATATAATACTATTATACTATTTCATGTGAGAAAACTTGTACAATATGTGAGTGTAATAGTCCATTCCACTCAAATCTGACAAAAGAAATTGAGTAGAAGAAATTGATTTTTTGTTCAAAACCAAACAGACTATTATTATTATTAGTAGTAGTAGTAGTAGTGTATTTATTTATACCGTTTTATCTCTCCCAAAGGGTACTCAAAGCGGCTTAACATAAAAGCATTAGTACACAGTTTAAAATATACAAATATCTAAAGATTAAAAGAGAATTAAATTAACAATATTAAAAATTCAGAAAAAACCATTCAAACATATTCCATGCATATTCAAAGTTAAAGCCACAGCACCCCCTGACTTGATCTTTTCATCTTTAAAAGCCTGCCTGAATAAAAACATTTTACCCTGCCGCTGGAAGGACAGCAGGGAGTGGGCCATTCTGGCTTCCCTGGGCAGGGAGTTCGAGAGTTGAGGGGCAACCACTTAGAAGGTCCTCTCTCTCATTCCCATTAATTAAGCTTAGGTGGGACCGAGAGGTGGGACCGAGAGACATAGGTGGGACTGAGAGAAGGGCCTCTCCTGAAGATCTCAGGGCCCGGGCAGGTTTGTACAAGGAGATATGGCCAGCCAAATAGCCT